ATTATTTTCAAGCATGTGGTATCGCTTAAGGCTAAATGAAATGATTTGTATAAATTTCTGCCTTCACTTTTAAAAGGCAGCGCTACTACATATCGTCCATCTGGAGATCGCGTAGTAGTTGTAGTAAAATGGTTTTCGCATAAATCATCGTTAGAAGAGGGGATTATTTCGGGAATGTCTTCTAATTGTAAGAATTTATTCATTTGTAAATGAAAATCTGAATCTGAAACATTACATAAATTAGTAGAAGTGCCGGTATTTTCAATAAATCAGGAATGGAACCTAATATTAGATAACCCAACCGGGTTTCTAGGGCCACAGGTAATCCTTTATCATTTTTAACCTGATTAGTGCCAAGAATTTCGCCGAAAACATCGCAACCCAAAATTCCGTCGACCTCCTGGGGTGTATGAAAGTTAGGATCCGCTAAAGGATAATTCAGAAATGTTTTGATGGATGAAATCGGAATGGTAATTTGTGGTTGCTTTCCCACTATCTCGTGTACTACGTATGCACAGACCGATAACTGATAAGAATCAATTAAAGATTTCAAAGTGAAATTAACTAATCCAATAACTTTATGTGACGAATTGCCTAACCCGATCACTTGGGTTGATATTGGAAGAATTTGTAAATCAGCCTTTTTGCACCAAGTTAATGTCACAAAATTTCTATCGCTTCCCGAATCAATAATTGTACGTAATAAAATGTTTTCTTTTCTAGTAGTAACTTTTACTACTGCTGTCGGCAATATGGTAATATGATGTGCGATTTTGTTTTGATTAAATGCGCATAAAACCGTACTATTTGATTTGGAATTAGAAAGATTATTTTGATCCGTACTCGCAAAATTGCTGCCAGTATGCAATAGCGAGTGATGTCGTTCGTTACATAATAAACAGGTTTTATTCGATCGACATGTAGTCGTTATCTTATGACCCAAACAATTGTCGCATAAGTTTAATTTTTGAATAAGGGATCGCCGATCAGGTATACTCAATGATAGAAATTTCGAACAAGTAAACACTCTGTGTTGTTCCCGACACACAAAGCATTTGTTATCATATTTATTTTTCAACAAAAATGACCGGCTAATTTTAGTGTTTTTGTAATTGGGTTTGTCATTAGTGAAATTGTTGGTCATACCATATACTTGATTTTTTGCCTGTTGTGACTTTTGAAGAAAATGCAGGAGGTCTTGGTATTTGGGAAACTCACCTTGATAAAAATGCTCGAATTTTTCTTGTAACAACGGATCGAGTTTCGAGAATGCCAGTGACGTAATAAGGAAATCATAGGCGTCGGGAATATTCAATTGGGAGAGCGCTTGCACCGCGGTATCGAATTTTTCAAGGAATGAATTTATTTGTCCAGATGAAATGGTTTTGAATGACAATAGTTGTTTGAAATAATTGGTGGCTAAGTACCGTTTATTTTGGTATTTTTTTATGAGCGCTTCCCAAAGAATTTGATAATTATTTGCGGTCGGTAGTATAGAATGAAATATTTTTAAAACCGGACCCTGTAACGCTCCTTTTAAAAAATGAAATTTTGATACATTATCTAACTCTGTATTTTCATGAATTAGTGAATTAAATGTTTCATAGAATAATGGCCATTGTTGAATATCACCTGAGAATTTAGGTACTTCAATGGACGGTAAATGTTGCTTGGGTACAATGTCTTTAATTGAAGAACTATGCGCATTTTTATTATCTAATAATTTCTCAGCGTGTTTTATTTTGGCATACATCGTTTCAAGGGCCTTTATTGCGGAATATTCCGGAATGAAACTAGGATTATCTAAATATTTTAATTTGTTTATTTCATCACACAATTGAATGAATTGTTCTCGAGCATTTTCAGTAATATATAAATTTTCAAGAAATTGTGTCTTGTTTGAAGGGTCAATTTGTTGCGATAGATCGTACGTTTCTTGCACAATTGAAAAGTACACCTCTCTCTTGGCGGTTAGACGTGCAATTTCTGCACCAATATCGATTTTAGGCGCCATTATATATTTTTGTTTTCTGTATACACCCAATTAATCCTAATAATAATTAGGATCCGGCTCAAAAGGACCAAATGTTGATGTTGGGGGGTTTCTCAACTCCTTTCGAAGTATTTCTCAACCCCTTTCGAAGTATTTTATACTTCGAGGAAAAATAAAAAAATTAAATGTATTCAGAAAACAAAAACCAATGGTAAACAAATATAAATTAAAAATAAAATTCTTCTTACTCCGTAATCAATAATAAACTAAAATATATTCTATATAAATTTTATATAAATGAAAAACAAAAATGAACACTAATTAATATTGTATGAAAATGTTATCTGTTTTGGAAGTCCAAGCCGCGGCAGCTATTTGGTTGGATCTGGAAACATCAGCGTAGTCGGTTGGATAGGTTGAAAAGAAATTCGAATACACTGACAAATAAAAATAACTGTTGACTTGACACACAATAGAAATTTAATCCACTGATAATATTGAACTGATAACAAACACTGAAAGGAACTGAATGTATTGATTGCAAGTAACTGAATGAATGAATTAAACCAAAATGAATGAAAGCCACGGAATAAATCGACTCGAACACTGAAAGTAACTGAACGAATGAAAGGCACGGAAAGAATAGACTTGAATGGTAAAACTATTGCCTGCATCGGCCTTTTTTATGAGTCAGAATTGCCCGATTGCCTAAATTTGAAACGTGTTGTCCAAGTAGAAAAACAAACCTTTTACAGGTCCGACAACCTACACAGGTGCGGCGCAAACATATATATATATATATATATATATATATATATATATGCTTATGTGTATTTTTAATAAAAACGTATATTTAGAAATAATATGAATTAATTAGTAACAAGAACAACAAATATTCGAGTATAGACAAAATTATACTGGCTACTAGTGTTATATTAACTGTTTTTATTTAAGGGTAGTTTCAAGAGTTGAACAAATTATGGGTATGGTAATTATTTTCGAGAAATTAAAATAACATTCATATCATTTTGAATTTCGTAATTTTCTTTTAATTTCAAAATATTTTTTTCAAACAATTTTTCATCAAGAGGTTGTTTTTAAAGTGGTTAAAAATTTGATAATCAAGATAGAAAACATAAAATATTATTTACATTATACGTAATTCTTATTATATCATACCGAAATTTATTTTTAAGTGTTTTTTTTTCAATTTAGAGGTTTTTTGAAGGGTTTTAGGGTTTTCACGGATTGAAAATGATTTTATTGCAAGGCAAATGTATTAAAAAATACTTTTTAATTATATCCTTCAATATTAAAAACGTTTAATAGCGATAAAACGGCTCAATATCCACTTATTTATTAAGGGGTGGCAACCCCCCGTGGGGGGTGGCGGATCCCGAATTGTTTTCACTTTTGAACTTCAGGTTAAGATGAACCTAATTCCAAAATTTCATGCAATTCGGAGCACAGTAAAAAAATTCAGAGGTTATACCTTTTTTTCCTCTCCGTTTACTGCACTATGAATTTTTGACGCATATCTTATTATATTATAATTATTATAATTAACTAGCAAACCCGACGAACTCCGTTTCGCCACCAGATGGTTTCGTGAGAAAGATGAAGAAATTGTTTGCTTGTTTTATATTTGAAAAGGAAAAATTTGATTTTATTGCACAACAGTAATGAATTTATTTCGATTACAAAAGTGAAGTGTTTTTTAGTTGAACTTCTCTAAGTAAATGAAAGTGAATCCGCCAATTATCCGTTTCATTGAAGTGCTCTTTGGTAAACCACATTTTTTGTTTTTTGGTGTGACGTTAACACAAACAAAGCGGATGGTTTTCCAACTCGTGAAGAGGGAACGTATAACTGCCCATGTGAAAAACAATGATTTTCTTGCGTTATTGCGAACGCAAGGCGAACTGTAAATTGCAATTGTTTGAAGTCGAACGGAAAACCAGTTGGAATTATTGGTATGTCACCAAATCGCCAGCAATTTTTGATTCTTTGCGGCAAGAATTCTCACTAATGTCATTACTCGAAATTTCCAACGAATGCAAAATTATCGAAATCGGTTCGTGCGTTCTGAAGTTATTTCGTCAGGAAGGAAAACCCGACTTATTTTTATATATATAGAAGATAATCTATTTGCAATGATTTAAAACAAATATTGATTATTTTTATTACTCGAATTTTTAATTACGGTGCGTGAAGTTCCAGCAATTTGCATTAGGGCACGATGCCATGCACCACTAATTTTCTTAGATATAAACCTTGCGGAGCCCGAGACCTTTCCAACGAATGCAAATCTGTCGAAATCGGTTCGTGTGTTCTGGAGTTATTTTGTCAGGAAGGAAAACCCGACTTATTTTTATATATATAGAAGATAATCTATTTGCAATTATTTAAAACAATTATTGATTATTTTTATTACTCGAATTTTTAATTACGGTGCGTGAAGTTCCAGCAATTTGTATTAGGGCACGATGCCATGCACCACTAATTTTCTTAGCTATAAACCTTGCGGAGCCCGAGACCTTTCCAACTAATGCAAAACTGTCGAAATCGGTTCGTGCGTTCTGGAGTTATTTCGTCAGGAAGGAAAACCCGACTTATTTTTATATATATAGAAGATAACACATTCATATTTTGTGAATCTCATGAAATTTATATTCCATTGTGATGATTGATTATGCAAAACACAATTAAACAACTATAAGTTTAATGACTAAAATAAAATAAAAATGCTTAGAATTTGATTGCGAATTGAAGTCATACTATGGTAATGTATAATTGTGAATGAAAAAATATAATATAGCAATAAATAATAGTTGTGCAATGATCAAAAACAGCATTATGTGATGATGGATATAAATGATATAATGATACTATTCAAACAATTAGAACTGTGCACATAAATATTAGATTAATTTATACTAACTAGCAATAAAAAATATTATTTGTTTATATAAAAATAACTAATTCCTAATCTCAAATAATAACTAACCTTAATAAAAGTACACATGCGGCAACCATCGTATAAGCAGTTAACGTTCCTATTGACATCATATTTACCAGCTGATTTAGATCAAACAATGCAGCCATCAAACCTGAAATTTCAGTTATAAAATTTAAAGTAAAAACAATTTTAGAATATTCTAATAATTAAAATGTGATGTTTTTTTGATGACCTTACCGGTAAGTAATCCAGCTAGAATTGTTCCACTGACGGGTGTATTATATGTATCACTAACGCGGCCCATAAATCTAAAAATCAATCCATCAGAAGCCATGGCATACAAAATACGAGGCAGTGGAAACATACATCCAAACAAACTGAAAAGTCAAAGTTTTCGAATCATTTAAATATATGAAATCTATCTTTGTTAAAAGAAAATTCTATGAGATCATTTTCTATGAGGTTAGTGAAGGTTTTAATATAAGAAAGTTCTCATCATCTTCTACGAGTATCTAAAAGATTTTTTCTATAAATGTTATATATATTCTTAATCATATAATCATTGATATATGTGTTTATTTTACCTAGTGATTAAACCGAAAAGACCTCCTATAGCAACTATCCACTTTGCAAAATTCCATCCAACAGCAGCAAACGCATAAGGCAATGGCGCATCACGATTCTTTGGAAGAATATGAAAATGTTAATTATAGAAAGAATTGAAAAAAAGAGTGCGCGTAAGGTTCACACGCGATTGAAGTAAAACTTTTTTACTATTGTACGAGATAGCATTTAAGAGTTAAAAATAAACACATCATATAATAATTATGAATAATGTTCGTCAGTAATATGGTAACACTCGTGATGCACATATTTATTAGTGTCAACCATTATACATATTTAAATAATAATAAATTATAAATTTATAATAGCATTAAAAATATTTATAATATTTGAAAACAATAATGCAATTAAAGTCATATTTCAAACACGACATGATCGGTTTGTCATTGGAAATAGCATCTAGGACTTGAACCCTCAATAAAGAAATAAAGTAATTGCTAATTAATAAATTCTATAATATTCGTTCACACAGTAGACAGCTGTACTATAACAATCTTGAGTAATTTCATTAAAGCTAGCAATGAATAAACTGCATAGATGTGAGCAGGAAAATATATAAAAAATAGTTAAAAGTGGCATTTAGCCTTAAGGCAAGTTGCATGAACTTCCCGAAATGTGTAGGAATTGACTTAATCTTTAAATTAATATTTAGATAAAATTGTTTATGTTTATTTCAAAAATAAAGTTATTGCTTTCAATTAAATCTAAACATCGCGATTTAGAATAGAATTTTCTCAAACACATTTAAATTAATTGTAATTATATTAATCATACTGCAGAGACACGTGCTTGTAAGCCCTAAAATTGTAGTTTATTATTTTTAAATTTTAATGAATTGATAATGATTTTGACATAAATTTTGACTCTAATATTTTCTCAAACTTTGATAAATTTTTAACATTAAACTATTTGTCATAGAGCCGTAACATTTTAGTATGTTTTATAAGACCATGATATCTATGCCAAAAAAAGGTTCATAAAAATCGGATTTTTTGTTCAACAGGTACTTTCAAGAATATCCGGTAGATTTTTACTTGAAACTAATCAGTATCATTCCCAACCAATATCTTTCGAACAGTTTTTGATTTTTTAAAATCGATTCAAAATTGAGAGCCAAAAGATGGACGAAAATTCTTTCACTTTTCTGCTATTTACAAAGAAACGCTTCAGCTCATCGATGCACAAGACTGAGAAAAGATAATCCACGTCAAAATACATTGATTGAAACGTCGATTCACGGCAAAAAAATCTGTTCACATACACACACTCACACACACACATACTTTTTCCAAATTTGGTCCCATTCGATTCAGAATGGCTTGAAACGTCGAGAAAACATAAAATTAGCGAATCGTATTTCTTGATGAAAACAAACTTCTCCTTCGGGAAGAGTAAAATCGTTGGAATGAATATACATTTAAATAGTTCAATTAAGCATGTAAGTTTTAAAACTTAAAGTGGACGATAATTACTATAAAATTATAAACCACTAACCTGATCGTAGTAAGGCAACATAAGTGTTATCACTGCAGAAACGCCGAAGTACGAGATGAAAACAATTACCAGTGTTGCAATTATTGCACGTGGTATGGTTTTTCTTGGCTCTTGAACTTCTTCGCCGCTTGCTGAAATGCAGTCAAAACCGATGTAACCATAGAAACAAGTTGCAGCGCCCTTTATTGTTCCCATCACACCGAATGGGAAGAATCCGCCAGAGCCAATGTTCTGGGTAGCTTGCACGACTGCAGGCAACGTCTCAGGCTTGATTCTCCAATTTTTGATATCGACTAAAAGTCAGTATCGTAAAATTTAGAACATTTTATTTACATCAGTTTTATTATTTATTGATTCTGTTATGAATAGTTAAAACTGTTTCCATAAAAAAAATAAGCAATAGATATTACTTGTTTGACTAAACAGTTGTGTGTTACGCATGTAAACGAAATAATACCAAACAGTTTCCTTTACATCATCAGCACTTTTGTACATAATATAGAATAACAGTATATTGTGACTAAAAAAAGGAAAAGGATGACATTTTCTCAAAAAAATCACAAAGACATATTTTTAATAATATGTGTATCCCAATTTTTCCTATGGGTTGGTCAGGATATAGTTTGGCATGGTCTGTTTGCCATACTAAACTATTTATTGTTTAATGAATTGGCCAAGTGCCCGAATGTTGACGTTAGTGTGATCCCTACATCTAGCAAGAAGAACCTCAGTTTTACTCTTCTGGTATTTTGATGAAACTTGATAGAGCATGATGATAGAGTTTATAGAAATTCTCAGTAAACTTTTTTTATGTAATTGTACACTGTCGGTACGTCAGTCTGTTGATGTAGGTGTTTAGTAAAATAGTATTATCTTTTAGTGTTGCCTGACATTATACGATCTGTATTTATCATCTACTGCTAATTGCCCGGTGACCTCAAACTCCAGATTTAAATTTATATTATTATCGGCTCAGAAAATAAATGCTCACAAAAAGTTAAGTGTAGGGTACTTATTTGAATTCACGCATTCTCACCTTTTTAGAAAATGTGAAATAATTATTTGTATCTGTAATGAATAAACAATAGCACACAAACATTCGTTTGAAGATCTGTTGCTAAATGCCTGAAAGATATCAAGAATAGTTTGGTGAATTTATGACTGGTGACCTTACAGTCAATATTGGTTTCAACTTCAAACTAATGCATTTAGGTTTTTACGATCAGAACAAGCTTTTTTAAGCTTTGCTAAGTTACTGGTATGTTTTGATCATAGTTTTCATTTGAATTGAGGTGACTGTGTCAATAAAATCATTTTATTTAGCACAGTTTCACTCGTTTTGTTTACACACATATATTTACATGGTATAGACTCAATATTGGTAGAATTGTCATAAATTCACATGAAATGATTTAAAAATATTATAATGATACAATTAAACTTACTCTTTATGCTTCCAGCAATTATAACAAACACTACGACGATCAAGTTCAATAATGAAAATAAGTTATTGACCATTGTAGATTTTTTCACTCCTAACGCTAAAGCCACTGTGAAATTACAATAGAAATATTACTAATGTTATAATAAAATGTAAAATTACCATTGTTAGAAAATATAATACTTATTTATGCATCTTCATTTAAATAAACTTTCATAATACATAATTTATATTACGTCTACAAAAAGCATAATTTAACCTTTAATAGTTGAAACGTTCTTTAACAATGTTATAATTACAAGCAATAGTAGTTAACAAGTATTTCTAACATTATTCTTATTCATTAATTATTTTTTAATTAATTTATCACGAAAATAAATATGATGAAAAAATTATTCTTACAATTAGTGTTAAATTATTTACATGGTAGAAATATTTTTTAACGTAACGTAACGTAGTTTTTAACAGATAACAACAGAAAATAAGTAAAAATATCGATCGGCAAGCATAAAAAAAATATAACAAATTATTAGTTTGTTGATCAGAAAATTTTAAATACTTATTACAACTTGGTCACAAACGCATAAATATTTTTTATAATTTGCAAGTTAGTAGAACTATATTAATAATCAGTTTATTTGAAAAATTGCTTTCGGAATAAAATATATTTAACCAATAAAAACATACCTGCAAATAAAACGGCTAATATAAAAGCCAAAAAATCCACATGACCAGCAAGAAAGGAAAGTGAGAGAGGTGCGAATGAAGCAAAAGCCTTTCCTATGACACCATCCAGTATCGAATCAAGATAAACACTAACACCTCGCGCTACACTGGCACTACCTAATTTTAAAAATGTAAGTGAAAAACTTTATTAGAATAGGACAAAATACAAAAAAAAAAAATTACACTTTATATTGGGGTCAAGTAAAAAGTTCGTTTCGTTTATTTAGCGAGACTCAACCAGTTCTTTATTGGGTGAAATTAAATTTATTCAAAAATTTTCGAATGAAGCCATGATGCCATCGGTGAAAACTTCTGTGCTTTCTGGTTGAAAAACTGATTCAAGTGCTTTTGGAAAGCTCTTTTTGATCAGTTTAATACTATTAAGATAGTTTTGCAGAGATCAGAACAAATGTTAGTCAGAGGATGCTATATCTGAAGTATATGGTAGATGCATAAAAATTTCTCAACTAAACTTTTGCAACTTTTGGCAGGTCATCAAATAAGTATATAGATGGGCGTTACCATGATGAAAGATAATATATTCAATTGATGCCGCTAACTTTCAATTATATGGTGTAATCTCTCTATTTATTTACAGTAGAATTACAGTCTGACTGGAAGTAGATCACGATTACCTTTCAGTCGCACCAGAAACACAGCATCACCTTTTTTAGTGTCATTCCTGACTTGTAATCGTTTGTCGTCGCTCAACATCACTAAACTATGATTTATTTCGCCTCCGATTATCATCTATAATTTACTTCCACTTACCAATTTTGAAATGTTTCAGAAATGAATCGATTTCATTGCATTTCAGCAGCGTATCGCAGACGTTGATTCGGCCTATCAAGTTCTTCGCGCCCAACTCATGAAGAGAAGATCCCGCACATCGAGCTTCCTTTTGTACTTAGCTTTATGTAATTGGTTAAAAACAGTTTTCTGATCAATGGCTAGTTCCCTCCTAATGTCGACAGAGCTGATTTAATTATCTTGCTCTACTTTTTTAACAATTTCAACAACTTTTTCAGTGAATCGACGAGTGGAGCGAGGTACATCTTTCACATTGAAATTACCAGAACGAAAACCAGAATTTTGATAAAGTACCTTTACCTTATACAGCATAATTTGTTTCACAAACCTGCGCAGCGTTCTTTCCTCCATAATAATATTGCAAAATATAGCGATTTTTCTCATTAGTTTTCTCCATTTTCAAACACAAATAACTTTTCAACTACTCGATCAATTTCTTTGATTACATCAAAATAATGCTCGAAGTGTCACCTTTCTAACGAGGGTTTACTGAGGGTTTACTGGTGCCCCTGCGATCTGCACTTCCTGAACGAAACGAACTTTTTACTTTACCCAATATTTGTCATTATCGAGCCGATTCTGCCGTTAAATAGGCCAATGTTATGGCAGGGCTATGTTATGTAGCAATTTTTATATAGAGTGGTAAAAGATTACAGCAATTTAAGTTTGAATAAAATAATCACAAAAGAAATTCACATTATACTTCAAGGCCGAGAAAAACTGTAGTTTTAAAATAACATAAAATATAATATAAAAACAATCATATACAAAATGTAATAAAAATTATTAAAAAAAATACCTTACCAATAACATATTCTAGTATCAGATTCCATCCAATGATGAATGCGACTAATTCTCCAGAACAAATGTATGAATAAGTGTAAGCTGATCCAGCACGTGGTTCGCGCCCTCCAAATTCAGCGTAGCATAAACCTAAACAATAATAAGACAAAAACTCCTCCTTTTAACTAATTTCATAATATTGTTGACTGAAAAAAGAATATATTGTGCCCTATATACTTATATTAAATCCAATAAGATAAAATTATGAATGATCATATATGAGACCTGCATGAGCAGATAAATTTAATGAAAAATACTTCTATACAAGTAGTGTAAAACTACCTGTGTAGATACCAGGGGTGTAACTACCGCCGTATCAGCCGTATCAAAAATACGGGCCCCCCGAGCCAAGGGAGCTCCTAACCAGCGCAAGCAAAAAGCAAAACTACAATTTTTCAAACAATTTAATAATTTTAACGTAGTTTGCATTTCCTTTTTTTATCGAGAGGTATTAAACTTCAACTTGTAAGCTAACGCTTTAAGAGAATTTATTCCTGCTGCAATATTTCTGCAAGCTCTAGCAATTAATTCAATTAGTAAAGCTTTCCCACATTCGATAAGTTAACAAATCTATAAAACTAATTCAGATTATACATTCTTCATCGAAACTAGGAATTTGTAATTTTTATATTTATATTTATATCGTTTTTTGTTTGTTATTGTTATTACTTGAATTGTCTGCATCGCGCGTCAGTTTAATAGTTAGATTTTGATAAATATGTGCAACTAAATCATTTTCAGATTTCTTTCCTCACTGTTTAAAAATATAAGTTTCTGTTCTGAAACTTTACAACACGCCAGTAATGACTTACACAAAACTAGTATTTTATTAAGTAATCTTTTGAATAGACTGTGCAAATTAACATATGAAAATTTATTAAAATAGTTTGTTGAAGAAGTACAAATAATTTGCACAAAAGATGCATTGCTATAACTATTTTACAGAACAAAATACAAATGATAATAAAGCGTTATTATCACAAGTTGAGAGAATTTTAGACCCGAAATTTTATTTTAATGTATACTATTGCTGTTTGGATATATTAATTTCACAAACCAAACAAAGATTTCAAAACCTTTGCGACGTAAGTAGTAACATTTGTCTTTTTGAAATCGAGAATTAATAAACGTTTCCGGAAAACTGTCGACTGAATCACTGTAAAGAAATATTGTAAAATATCTCATATGACCATGACCAATTGATAGTTCTAGAAATAGGTTCGAATACAAAAATCTAAGAAATGTATTTCATTAAGGTACAATGATGCAATAGGCTTGCATCCAGTTTTCCCAAAGAAATAACAGTATGCACTTTTTCTTGGCCCTTAACTACAATTTACAGTTAAAATCGCAATTGCTAAAAAAAATTTTTTTAATTAAAACTAATTAAAAATTACGTAAATACTTTAGGATATAAAATGTCTAACTGTATGTTCCTAGAGACAGAAACTTTATAAAATTTTAAGATCACTAAACAAGTCAGTTTTTCAAAAAAAAAAGGTAAGGAGAGTGAAAATATATCTGGAATCATTTGTGAAAATTCCAGAAAATTAGAGAAAATTAGATAGACCAAATAATTAGGATGATAAACAAATATTCTTTTAATATTATGTATTTCTATATTTTGTGAAAAAAAAAATTCTTCTTGAGGGGCCTTCGAACAAATTTTGATACGGGGCCTCACCAAAGCACGCTACGCCCCTGGTAGATACCATATAGTCATAGTAAGAAATGTTTAAATGAAGTATTAGTGATTAGACTTAAGTATTTTGTAAATGACTAATGTACTCGTATACAAAGTAGGGTAGAGCCGGGTTAGTTGAGCAATCGAAATATCTCTAAAACTATTCACCGTTCGTTTAGGCATTATATGGCGGAAAGATAGAGGTTTGGGAGAAATAAACATCCCGCGATCGCTAGTGGCCGCTGGACAAATGAGTGAGGCTCACGGACGTTTTGTTTATTTTGAGACCAAAAAGTAAAAAAGTAATTCACAAGTTTTCTGGGTATAATTCTCACGGTTTTTTGGGTATAATTCTCACGGTTTTTTTATAAACTCACTTTTATTTTGAAATTCGAGTTGGGGTTAGTTGAGCATAGTTGCTAAATTTGTTCTGTCACTAAGACAATTACCATTAACTTCTAGAAATTAATTATTATTTTTAAGATTTAAGTCTATGAGTAATAATACATATAAAGAAACAATGATTTTAAACAAAAATACTGAATATAATGGTAAAATAATTCCTAAGATACGATATTGTTTTGTTGATTCTACTTTTCGTTAATTATTTAAAGCAAATTAATATAAGTTTTGTTTTCTCTGTCAATAAAGACTATAAATATAGAACTGGTTATTAAAAACTAATTTTATTTCATCCCTAATCGACATCGAACCTGTGATTTCATTATACTTTCTTAGTGCTCAACTTGACCCACATATGGGGTATATTGAGCATACTTGACTTTTTGCATTTAAACAGCTATAGCTTTTAAATTTTACCAAAAATATTTTTTTATTACCAAAAATAGTATCAACACTTTTGTTAAGCGATAAACATCAAATTCATTAAGCCTTATAGCAATTTATTGAGACTTTTCATTGAGGAGCTACATCCGTTTAAGTAAAAATTCACTCAACTAGCCCCGCCCTACCCTAAATAAAATGAATAAAAAAACTTAAACAAAATGTCTCAATTAAAATTTGAAATTTGATTGTTCGCCCCTCCGGTATGAACAATTGTGACATTTGCCCTTTTGTTGTATGGTTTAATTTTAAAAATATATTTAAGGACAGTATTATTTCTGTATTTTTGTTCGATTTACTTTTCTCCCAGCTAACTGGTAAATTAACATAATTATTGCTGAACAAAAAAGTGGCACAATCGTACCCTTAGGTTGTTCAACTCAACCTAATTATATTCCAATAGATTTTTTTAAAGAAAAATACGAATTTGAGTGTTAATTGAAACTAAACTTCATAGAACAGTTAATTTGTTTTACGTATCATGATGAAATAAAACTAAATATTAAATAAGTCGATTACTAAACTTGACTTTTCTATCATACATACCTGCAAGAAAACTGCCTATCGCCGCTATAGCAAAGGATATTACGACTGAAGGTCCAGCAACATCGCGCGCAACATGTCCAGCCAGCACATATACGCCCACGCCTAAAGTCGAACCCACCCCCAGCGCAGTAAGATCGGCGAAGTTCAGCACCCGCCCGAGACGAGTTGTTCCTTCGGGAGCGCTCACCGGATCTTCACCGCTGGCCTTTGACAAAGACTTGCGACGACACAAGGCGGCGCAAAGCTTGCCGATGGTCAGAGTCATTATAAAAATTAAACTGCAATGTAATATTATAGCATTAAGCACTATTTTATAAACGAAAACTTTAATTAATTATTCATTATATAGTGCAGTAAACGGAGAGGAAAAAAGGGTATAACCTCTATAATAAAATAAAAAACGACTTCGCTCTTTCAAATCTTGCTTAATATTTTCCTAGAACACTTTATGTAATACTGATTAATTAAGATTTTTATTGACATTATTTTGTTCATTACATGATTTTCGTTAAAATGTATATTTTAGGAGATATTTGCAAAAAAACGAAGAAAAACGCTAAAAATATATGAATCTTTAGTGGCCAGTAACTTGAAAAGTATTAGTTTTTTTTTGAAAAACTATAAAAGACATTTTTTCTTATAATTAGTTCTTCCACCGATTTC